CGGGACAGACCCAGCAGGTACCACGGGTTGATTGCTGTGCCAGGCTAGGTGCAGGGGGAGGTCACGGAACAGACCCAGCAGGTGCCACGGGTTGACTGCTGTGCCAGGCTAGGTGCAGGATGAGGTCACGGGTCAAACCCAGCAGGTGCCACGGGTTGACTGCTGTGCCAGGCTATGTGCAGGATGAGGTCACGGGACAGACCCAGCAGGCGCCATGGGTTGACTGCTGTGCCAGGCTAGGTACAGGTCGTCACAGGTCAGACCCAGCAGGTGCCACGGATTGACTGCTGTGCCAGGCTAGGTGCAGGAGGTCACGGGTCAGACCCAGCAGGTGCCACGGGTTGACTGCTGTGCCAGGCTAGGTGCAGGAGGAGGTCACGGGTCAGACCCAGTAGGTGCCAAGGGTTGACTGCTGTGCCAGGCGAAAGTCACTCACAGCACTTGCCCCTCCAGCTTGTTGGAGGCTACACGGGGGATCTTTGTCCGTGTGTGTGTGGGTCTAGCTGCAAGTCACTAACAGCACTTACTCCTACAGCCTGTTCGAGGCTACACGGGGGAGCTTTGTCTGTTTGTGTGTGGGGTCTAGGTGCAAGTTACTAAAAGCACTTGCCCCTACAGCCTGTTGGAGGCTACACGGGGGAGGTTTGTCTGTGTGTGTGTGGGGTCTCGCTACAAGTCACTGACAGCACTTGCCCGTACAGCATGCTGGAGGCTACACGGGGGAGCTTTGTCTGTGTGTTGTTGCACAGAAACTGGACACGAGGGAGAAGCACGTCCCCATGGTAACTGGTTTATTGAAGGCGACTTTCAAGACATCTTGGCAAGCTTCCTTAGCGCGATAACCACCACCACCAGCAACGCGTTTGTGCAGAATCCGCCCTCAGTCCGCGCGCCTCCAGCCGAGAATGAGAAATTTCGCTCAGAACAAAGCCACTTGGCTAACAGAGCCGGCCTCCCAGAGTCTCACACCGACCCCGAGACTCACTCGGACCCTGAGACCCGGACTCCCCGAGTCTCACCCTGACCCCGACTCTCTCTCCGACCCTGAGACCGGTCTCCCCGAGTCTCACCCTGACCCTGAGTCTCACCCTGGCCCTGAGTCTCTCTCCGACCCTGAGACCCAATCTCCCCGAGTCTCACCCTGACCATGAGTCTCTCTTCGACCCTGAGACCCGGTCTCCCCGAGTCTCACTCTGACCCCAAGACTCACTCTGACCTCGAGACCCGGTCTCCCCGAGTCTCTGTGACCCCAAGTCTCACTCTGACCCGGAGGCCCGGTCTCCTTGAGTCTCTCTCTGACCCAGTCTCCCTGAGTCTCACTCTGACCCCGAGACCCGGTCTCCTCGAGTCTCTCTCTGACCCAGCCTCCCTGAGTCTCACTCTGACCCCCGAGACCCGGTCCCCTTGAGTCTCTCTCTGACCCCGAGACGCGGTCTCCCTGAGACTCACTCCGACCCTCCCGACTGGGACACGCTCTCTCTCGACGGTAACCCACGTGTAAGCGAGCACGGTCTTCCCTCCAGATCCACTCAGCCAAACGACAACAATGAATTCGAAAAGCGAGTGCCAACCGCAACGTCAAGCCCAGCCCATTAGGGGCCAGTGCTAATGTCCTCGCGCGAGTCGTGATCTCGGCTAAACCCACACCCACAGTGAAACTGCCAGCAGCCAAAATATCCCCCACGCCAATGCTGGGATCTTAGAGCAACAGCAGCATTGCCACCGACTATGTGGCAGTCTTGAAACTCAGGGGTCGAGTGGCTCAGGGGGTGTAGAGACTCGGAGTCTAGGGGACTCGGGGTCTAGAGAGTTATCATTTTGATTCCGTGCGTTCACCCAGGACAGCGTCGCGAAGCCTCCAGGCTCTCTTTCAGGAGAGTACTGCCACTGCAGTTGCAGCAGGGGGAGAGATGCCGCTGCTGTGGAGGGGCGGTCCCTGAAATCGGAAACCGCAAAACCTCTGCAACTCACTCAACTCATTCACTCAATCAACCAGATACCCAGCGACTCATTCACTCACTCAACTCATTCACTCACTCAGCCAGACACACATCGACTCATTCACTCACTCAACTCATTCACTCACTCAACCAGACACCCAGTGATTCATTCACTCACCCAACCATTCACTCGCTCAACCAGACACTCATTCACTCACCCAACCATTCACTCACTCAACCAGACACCCATCCATTCACTCACCCAACCATTCACTCACTCAACCAGACACCCAGCGACTCATTCACTCACCCAACCATTCACTCACTCAACCAGACACACATCGACTCATTCACTCGCTCAACCAGACCCCCATCGACTCATTCACTCACCAAACCATTCTCACTCAACCAGACACCCAGCGACTCATTCACTCACCCAACCATTCACTCACTCAACCAGACACCCAGTGACTCATTCACTCACCCAACCATTCACTCGCTTAACCAGACACCCAGTGACTCATTCACTCACCCAACCACTCACTCAACCACTCATTCACCCAACCATTCACTCACTCAACCAGACACCCAGCGACTCATTCGCTCGTCCACTCATTCACAATCCTCATTCGCACACAAGGGAGAGCTGAGTGATTTCCCAGAAATGGATCGCCCGACAAAGCCCGTCACGTGCCTCGAGTCTACACAAAAATCCGATCCACATTCCACGTTCCCATGGCAAGAGCCAGGCCGCCCCGGCTTTTAGCGACGCCCATGTCCACGTTACTATGGCGGGGGCGGGGGAGGGGTGGCAGAGGACTGTCCCTAAACACGAAACAAAAAGCCTAGAAAATAAAATATATTTTTATATATTGTTTTTTTCCTTTAGCGACCGGTCACGCGGCGTCACATTCCACGTTCGCGTGACGGGGGCAAGTACGTCCACATGGTGCCCAGCTATGGTGCCCCCCCCCCATCCCGGGAGAGATGACGATTTAGCTGCTGATGATGATGATGCTGACGACGATTTAGCTGCTGCTGATGCTGATGACGATTTAGCTGCTGCTGATGATGATGCTGACGACGATTTAGCTGCTGCTGATGATGATGCTGATGACGATTTAGCTGCTGCTGATGATGATGCTGATGACGATTTAGCTGCTGATGATGATGATGCTGATGACGATTTAGCTGCTGCTGATGATGATGCTGACGACGATTTAGCTGCTGCTGATGATGATGCTGATGACGATTTAGCTGCTGCTGATGATGATGATGATGCTGACGACGATTTAGCTGCTGCTGATGATGCTGATGACGATTTAGCTGATGATGATGCTGATGACGATTTAGCTGCTGCTGATGATGCTGATGACGATTTAGCTGCTGCTGATGATGATGCCGATAACGATTTAGCTGCTGATGATGATGATAATGCTGATGACGATTTAGCTGCTGCTGCTGATGACGATTTAGCTGCTGCTGATGATGATGCTGATGACGATTTAGCTGCTGATGATGCTGATGACGATTTAGCTGCTGATGATGCTGATGACGATTTAGCTGCTGCTGATGATGCTGATGACGATTTAGCTGCTGCTGCTGATGATGCTGCTGATGACGATTTAGCTGCTGCTGCTGATGATGCTGCTGATGACGATTTAGCTGCTGCTGATGATGCTGCCGATGACGATTTAGCTGCTGCTGATGATGCTGCTGATGACGATTTAGCTGCTGCTGATGATGATGCTGATGACGATTTAGCTGCTGCTGCTGATGATGCTGATGACGATTTAGCTGCTGCTGATGATGATGCTGATGACGATTTAGCTGCTGCTGATGATACTTGATGACGATTTAGCTGCTGCTGCTGATGATGATGCTGATGACGATTTAGCTGCTGCTGATGATGATACTGCCGATGCTTATGTGGCTGATGATGATTATAATACCGATTATTATTTAGCTGATGATGATTAAGCTGATGATGATGATGCTACCGATGATGTTGATACTAGCGATGATGATTTAGCTGATGATGATGATACTACCGATGATGATTTAGCTGATGATGATACTACCGATGATGATACAGATGATACTGATGATGATACTACCGATGATGATGATACTACCGATGATGATGATGCTGATGAGGACGATACTACAGATGATGATTATTTAGCTGATGATGATACTGCTGATGATGATTGCCCATTTACAATTAAAATCGCACGTGACCCAGAGCTGCAACAGTGCTGTTCGGACGCGCGCGCACCCCCAGCCGGTTATTGTCGATTCCGAAACCGGTTTTGTATATATTCTGAAACCGGTTTTGTATACATTCTGAAACCGGCTTTGTATAGATTGTGAAACCTGTTTTTAAAATAGATTCTGAAACCGTTTTGTTTATCGAATCTGAAACCGGTTCGTATCGATTCCGAAACCGGTTTTGTTTAGATTCGAAAAAAACGGCTTCGTATTATTCTTTTGACGTCAAAATGTAGAAGTTAAAAAAAAAACCGTTAAAACGACTTTAACAACAACATCATCATCCGAGAACCCCCAGAAAGAAAATTCTAAAACCTCTCCCCCCCGCGTCGACTAACAAAATAAACCAAAGCCACCACCACCACCACGGATGGCCACGTACGGTGGTGCGAAAGAAGTTCAGCGTACACGCGAACGCACGCGCACGTACGTACATACACGTGCGCGTGTGTACGTACGTACATACATACACGTGCGCGCGTATGTACGTACACACATACACGTGCGCGTGTATGTACGTACATACGTACACACGTGCGCGTGTATGTACGTACATACGTACACACGTGCGCGTGTGTACATACGTACACACATTACGTACATACGCACGTAATGTGTGTACGTACATACACACGTACGTGTGCGTACCGGAGGGGAAAGATACAGGCGCAGCCCTGCAAACCGCTCCCCCCCCCACATGGAGAGTGCCCACCACCAATGTCGCCACCGGCGCCACACCAATGCAACCCCCCCCCCCCCCCCCCCCAGTCCCCCCCTCCCCACCAACGCAATCGTTGCAAACCAATGCAATGCAACCCCGCCAATGCAACAATGCAACCACTGCCACCAATGCAATCCCCACCGCCGCCACCAATGCATTCAACCGCTGCCACCGGTGCAATCCCCACCGCCGCCACCAACGTAACTACCCTCACCAACCCACCGCAGACACAGCCCCCCCACCACCCATCCCACAGCAGGGGGGGGGGTGGTGGTGGGCGTGGGTGGGTGTGGGGTAACGCGCGGGGGGGGACGTGGGCGACGAGGTGGCCACTCAGCGCAGGAGGGCCTTGACGGCCTGCTCGATGTTCTTGCGGTGGCCGACGCGCGTCACCCCGAGGTCGGTGAAGTCCTCGCGGCTCAGCACGGGCAGGTGGGTGCCGTCGATGTCGTTGGCCAGGAAGCGGGCGCGGTGCTCCGACAGGTTCAGCGAGTCGAGCCACGCCGCCACCTCGTACTTGCCCCACTGCTCCAGCGGCTTCTGCGACCACGACGCCACCGTCGTCGTCGCGGCGACGGCGGGGGCGGCGGGGGTCGTCGTCGCGGCGACGGCGGGGGCGGCGGGGGTCGTCGTCGCGGCGACGGCGGGGGTCGTCGTCGCGGCGACGGGGGCGGCGGCGGCGACGGGGGAAGGAGGAGGGGAGGGACCGGCGGCGGCGACCGGCTCGGGGTAGCGCTGCGTCTCCGCCGGAGACGGCGGCAGGAAGATGGCGGCGGCGGGTCTCGCGACCGTCGCCGCCGGGTTGCGGGGGACCGTCGGCGACGGTTGCCCGGCAACGGCGGCCGTGGCGGCGTCGGCGACGTCGGCGGGCCGTGCCACCGGAGGGCCGCCCGTCAGCTTCACCATGGGCCGCGGTGCGTTGGGCCGGATGGAGAAGGTGGCACCATAGCCATCACTACCCCTGTGGGGAGGGGGGAGGTGGCGGAGTGAGGGAGGGAGGAGGAGAAGAGAGGGAGGGATGAGAGGGAGGGAGGGATGAGAGGGAGGGAGGGATGAGAGGGAGGGAGGGATGAGAGGGCGTGTGGGAGGGAGTGAGGAGAAGAGAGGGAGGGAGGGATGAGAGGGAGGGAAGGATGAGAGAGAGTGGTTACACAGAGCTCCTGAACTCATCATTGTAATAACCTAGCACAATGGTGGGGTATACAGTGGAGGTCGTGGTGGTAGTGGTGGTGGTTGTGGTCGTGGTTGGCCAGGCTGTTGTTGTCTAGTCGGTCGACCCTTAGCACCTGCTGGGTCTGCCCCGTGACATCCTACCAGCTGGGCGTTCGACACTTCGCGCGGCCTCAACGTGCACATAGCCTGGCACAAGCGCCGTGGTCACTGCCACGTAGTGGCGAATGGCAGTTGTTGTTGTTTGTCTAGAGAGGCCCCATCGCAGAGCGGTCGGTCCGTCACCGTCGAGCCTCTGAGTAGCTCTGCCAGGGAGAGATGAAATTCCCCGCTCGCGAGCCGAGGCCAGGACACTGTGGGTTTGAGTGGGGTCCGAGATGGACACCCACCACCAGAGTGGAAGAATGGCAGGCGCATCTTACAGATGACTAGTCGATGGTCAGCAGGCAGATCAGCTCCACGGTAGGTCCTGGTGTCAACGACATGGGCCCGCATCCGCTGTTCCGTCACTATGTAGCCCAGCAGATGTTCTTGCCTGGACCCGGCATGCATCCACGATGTTGTATGGATGCGCCGATGCCGGAACAGCGTGTTGGTAATTACAGGCCCATGGGCTGCACAGAAGTCTAGCAGCCTCCTACCGTTGTCATTGAGCTGATCTGGCCCACGCCTTACAATCACTCCAGCCCAGGTGGCAGCATCATGACCAACTCGGGCATTCAAGTCACCCAACATGATGACTCTATCCCGAGCGGCCACTTTAGCCAGCACCTGTGACAGGAGGCCATAGATGACATCTGACTCATCGGCCTTGCCTGTGTAGTGCCGTAGATGGGCCACACTTACCGGCAGTGGTATACAGGGCCCATCAACAAGGGTACCTCGTACCGCTAGGGGAGGGGCTGATGTGCCAGCCCAAGCGGGGAGGGGCTGCTGGGGGCTCAGGCAGCTAAGCCCTCGGCGCCATCTACGATCCCACGCAACCCCACCCCCCGATGGGCAAGGGGGATAAAAGGGCACCTCCCCAGCTGATCTGGACAAGTCGCAGCCGAAGAACCAAGACACAAGCCAGCTTAGGACCCTGGACCCCCTCGCCCCGCTGTCCTCGTCAGGGCTGGGACGCTGTGCGGGCTGGCGGTGGGACTCTGGGACTCCCGGCTCCACGCCCTTGTAAGGGCTGGGACGCTGTGCGGGCTGGCGGTGGGACTCTGGGACTCCCGGCTCCACGCCCTTGTAAGGGCTGGGACGCTGTGCGGGCCGGCGGTGGGACTCTGGGACTCCCGGCTCCACGCCCTTGTAAGGGCTGGGACGCTGTGCGGGCTGGCGGTGGGACTCTGGGACTCCCGGCTCCACGCCCTTGTAAGGGCTGGGACACTGTCCGAGGAAGCCAGAGGTCGAAACCCACACCTTGGCTGGGTCGGGTCAGGGTAGCCTCCCCTAGGGTGATTATAGCCGGAGGACCCCAGGGCGTAGCCAGAGTCAGGCTCGCTAGAAGTAGGCTGTGTCCCTAGGCTGTAACAGCGTATCAAGACTGTTGTATTGTAATAAAGAAGTTACCTATGCAAAGTGTCTCCAGAACCCATTACACCTGCATCCCTCCACTGATGTTCATCTTCGGTGGGGATGTAGGTAACCACCACCACTCCGTTGATGGGGAGGTGAGCCCACAGTAGCCTGGGGCTTCCAGCTTCCCACACACCTCACCGACACGCTCCCACGTCCCCCCTTCATTATTTTGTTCAGGGGAAGAGCCACACCCTGTTGTTTGGCAGTCTCCTGCCCCGAGTAGAGGACTGTCCACCCGTCATGGTGACAGGAGCCAGAGCCGGTCCACCGGACCTCCTGAACGCCGCAGAGATCCAGGCGGTACCGGTCAAGCTCCCGACAGAGGAGTGGCAGCCTCTCGTCCGCAGCGAGCGCTCGAACATGACACCGCAACCACCGCAACCACCAATCACCACCACGACTGCAACCACCACAACCACCGTAACCACTGCAACCACAACCACTGCAAACCACCACCTAAACTACCACCCCACCACTGCAATCACCAAAACCACCACCACCACCTGCTTTCACGTCCATCGGCACTCACTTGGCGGCGGCCGTGGTGCCCGGCGCCGGTTCTCCCTGGACGCTGTCGCCGCCGCCGTCCTGCCGATGAACGCGTTGCGTCAGCTCGCTCAGCACCTCCCGCTTGGCCGCGTGGGCGCCACCGGCGCCCGCCGCCGCCGCCGGCACCGCGGCCGCCGACATGGCAAGCCCCGGCGGCTTGGGGGAGGTCGGGGGGCCGCGCTGGCGCCCGCCCCGCCAGGGAGCCGCGCTGTGGCCGTAGCGGTTGTTGCCGGAGAGCCCGAAGTTGGGCGACGTCGTGGCGCCGCCCGGCGATGTCGGGGTGGGGGGGAAGGTGGCGGTGGCGGTGGTGGTGGGGGTGGCCTGGTGGAAGCCCGGGGAGGCCGGCGAGGAGGGGGTGATGCGCATCGTGGTGCGGCGGTCCGGATCCGGCAGCCTCGTCGCCCGCAGCCGGATCTTGTTCTCCGGGTTCTCCGGGTTGTCCGGGTCGTCGTCGTCGTCGTCACCGCCGCCGCCGTGGTGCGGGCGCTCCGTCTCCTCCGCTGCGGACGTACCCTGGCCGAGTTCCGTGGCCCCCCGGTACTTTCCGGCCTCCTCCTCCTCATCCTTCTCCTGCCCCCTCTCCACCTCCTCCTCCACCTCCTCCACCTCCTCCACCTCCTTCACCTCGGCCGCGGTGCGGCCGGAGAACTGGGCGGGGGGCGGCAGCGGCTCATCGGACACGGCCTCCTCATCATCCTCCTCCTGCCCCCTCTCCACCTCCTCCACCTCCTCCATCTCCTTCACCTCCTCGACGGGCAGGGAGAGAGCCGGCGGTACCACCGGTGCCTCGCTCCTCGCCTCCTGCTGCTCCACCTCCTTCACCTCCTCCACCACCTCCACCTCCTCCACCTCCTCGACCACCTCGATCACCTCCGCCGGCAACGGCGGCGCCGCCTGCTGCTGACGCTGCTGCTGCGGTGGCGGTGGCGGTGGTTCCACCGCGGCACCACCGCCATCGTCATCCTTGCCCTTGGTGCGGTTCATGGAGCGTTGGCGCGCCGCCAGGATGAGCGCCATCGGGGAGCCGGGGTCCAGCGGCTGCCCCGTCACCGGGTGGAGGAAGCCGCGGCGATCGTTCACCGACAGCGCCGCGGCCGGGACCGTGACGGTCGGCGCCGCCGCCAGCGTCGCCGGCGCCGCCGCCGGAAGAGAAGGAGCGGAGGAGTCGTCCCTGCGCGGGGGCGGACCGCGCGGTGACGGTGATGGGGTTTAATGTGACGCTGGGGGTGGTGGTAGTGATGGTGGTGGTGGCGGGGGTGGTTGTGGTGGTGGTGACGATGGTAGTGGTGATGAAGGTGGTGGTGGAGGTGGTGAAAATGATGGTGGTAGTGGTGGTGATGACAATGGTAGTAGTGGCGGTGGTGCTAGAGGTGACTGTGGTGGTGACGGTGGTGGTGGTGGTGGTGGTGGTGGTGACGGTCGTGGTGGATGTGGTGGTGGTAGTGGTGGTGGTGGATGTGGTGGTGGTGGTGACGATGGTGCTAAAGGTGTACATCAAAATGTATTATCTTATACCGACGTGACTTTACCGAAAGAACCCAAAGATTACGTGCTAGAGGTGGTGCCGGTGACAACGGTGGTGGCGGTGATGGTGGCTTCTCTCTCACCTCTGCTGCTGCTGCTTCTTGCGGTCGACCGAAGCGCCGGCGACCGCCGATGCGAACGGCGCCGGCCGCGCCGCCCCAGCGCCGTCACTCGCCGGCCCGGCTCCGCTCGCCGGTGCCACCGCGGCAGCGGCGGCAGCGGCCAGATCCTCCTCCACCCCCCTGCCGCGCTGCTCCGCTGCCGCCGCCGCCGCAGCAGCCACCGCTGCCGCCGACTTGGCCGGCGCCGGCGGGGCCGGTGCCGGTGCCGGTGGCGGCGGCGGCGCCGGCGGCGGCGGTGCCGCCGCCACTGCCGGCTTCTCGGTGCGAGCACGGGGAAGAGAAGCAGTGGTAGCAGGAGGGGATTTCACCGGCGGTGGCGGCGGCGGAGTCGTCGGCGGTGGCGGTGGGGTCACCGCCGGCGGCGGCGGTGGCGACTCCACCTCTCCGGCGGTGAACACTCGGTACGTCGCCGTGGGGTTAAAGGTCGACAGAGGCCGCTGCTGCCGCTGCTGCTGCTGCTGCCGCTGCTGCAGGAGCAGCAGCTCCGGAGTGACGGCGGGCGGCACCGGCGGCGCCGCCGCGGCCGGAGGAGGCGGAGGAGCGAACGGCGGCGCGGGAGGCGGCTCGGCAAAAAACTCGAAGCCGTCGTCGGTGACGTCGGCGGGGCCCGTGGGCGTTGGCGGCGGCGCGTAGGCCGGCGGCGGCGGGGGCTGCACCTCCTCGTCGGTCATCGCCGTCACCTCGTCGTCGCCGTCGTCGTCGTGGCGACGGCGGCGGTCGTGGTCCGGCTGGGGTGGTGCCGGCGGCGGCGCGCTGGGTGGGGGAGGGATGTCTGTGGTGTCCACCAGGTCGAAGTAGGGGATCTCCTGCATGGACTGGGACACGCGGGCGGGGGGCTTGGACGACGACTTGTTGCTGAGGATCTGGAGGCCTGGGGAGGGGGAGGAGGGGGAGGAGGAGGGGGAGGAGGGGGAGGGAGAGGGGGGAGCAGGTGGAGTGTTCATCTGGGTTGACGAGTGCACAACTCAATGGGCGGTGTTGAGTGTATGATGGGTGAGCGTGGTGAGCGTGGCGAGCGAGGCTGGTGGTGAGCGTGGTGAGCGAGGCTGGTGGTGAGCGTGGTGAGCGATGCTGGTGGTGAGTGTGGTGAGCGTGGTGAGTAAGGCAGGTGGTGAGCGTGACTGGTGGTGAGCGTGGTGAGCGATGCTGGTGGTGAGTGTGGTGAGCGTGGTGAGCGTGACTGGTGGTGAGCGAGGCTGGTGGTGAGCGAGGCTGGTGGTGAGCGTGACTGGTGGTGAGCGTGGTGAGCGTGACTGGTGGTGAGCGAGGCTAGTGGTGCGCGATGCTGGTGGTGAGTGTGGTGAGCGTGGTGAGCGTGACTGGTGGTGAGCGAGGCTAGTGGTGAGCGAGGCTGGTGGTGAGCGTGGTGAGCCTCACGCTGGCTGGGGGTGAGGTTGGTGTTCACCGTCGTTCCGCCCCTGGTACCATCATCAGGGATGGGCCCTTCCTCATCGGCCAGCATCTCATCCAGTTTCTCTGCAACGCACCAGGTGTGTACAGGTGAGTGTCCAGGTGTGTACAGGTGAGTGTCCAGGTGTGTACAGGTGAGTGTCCAGGTGTGTACAGGTGAGTGTCCGGGTGTGTACAGGCGAGTGTCCGGGTGCGTACAGGCGAGTGTCCGGGTGTGTACAGGTGAGTGTCCGGGTGTGTACAGGTGAGTGTCCGGGTGCGTACAGGTGAGTGTCCGGGTGCGTACAGGCGAGTGTCCGGGTGTGTACAGGTGAGTGCCCGGGTGTGTACAGGTGAGTGTCCAGGTGCGTACAGGTGAGTGTCCAGGTGTGTACAGGTGAGTGTCCAGGTGTGTACAGGCGAGTGTCTAGGTGTGTACAGGTGAGTGTCCGGGTGTGTACAGGTGAGTGTCCGGGTGTGTACAGGCGAGTGTCCAGGTGTGTACAGGCGAGTGTCCAGGTGTGTACAGGTGAGTGTCCAGGTGTGTACAGGTGAGTGTCCAGGTGTGTACAGGTGAGTGTCCAGGTGTGCACAGGTGAGTGTCTAGGTGTGTACAGGCGAGTGTCTAGGTGTGTACAGGTGAGTGTCCAGGTGTGTACAGGCGAGTGTCTAGGTGTGTACAGGTGAGTGTCCAGGTGTGTACAGGTGAGTGTCCAGGTGTGTACAGGCGAGTGTCCGGGTGAGTGTCCAGGTGTGTACAGGTGAGTGTTCAGGTGAGTGTCTAGGTGTGTACAGGTGAGTGAGTGTATGTATCTAAAAGTATATATAGGTGTATGTATCTATCAGTATCTATAAGTATTTATGTGTATATATGTATAAGTGAGTGTATGTATAAGTGTATATATGTATAGGTGTATACATGTATAAATATGTGTGAGTGTTTGTATCTATAAGTGTATATATGTATAGGTGTATACATGTATAAGTATGTGTGAGTGTATGTATCTATAAGTGTATATATGTATAGGTGTATACATGTATAAGTATGTGTGAGTGTATGTATCTATAAGTGTATATATGTATAGGTGTATATATGTATAAGTGAGTGTATGTATAAGTGTATATATAGGTGTATATGAGTATGTGTGAGTGTATGTATCTATAAGTGTATATATGTATAGGTGTATATATGAGTATGTGTGAGTGTATGTATCTATAAGTGTATATATGTATAGGTGTATATATGTATAAGTGAGTGTATGTATAAGTGTATATATGTATAGGTGTATATATGAGTATGCGTGAGTGTATGTATCTATAAGTATATATGCACTGTATAGGTGTACGTATATATACGAGTAAGTATGTGCGAGTGTTCTCGTACCCAGTTCCGCAAGTTCATCCGCCACGGACTTTGACTTCTGGGTCAGCACCGTGCCGGGGGATCGCTTGGGGGGCGGTGGGGGGGGCGCTGCGAAAAACCATAGAGCGCATTGGCACGGCGCCACATATACAAAACGTAGAGCGCATTGGCATGGCGCGTTGCGATACAGCCCGACGCCGGTACCCGGCCATTCGCCGCCAACTCACAGCGACGTCACCCCCGGGCGCCCGTGCCAGGCCAGGTGCAACTTTGAGGCCGCCATGTGAAGTGTCGAAGGCTCGCTGACTGGCAGGAGGTCACAGGACAGACCCAGCAGGTGCCATAGGTTGTGGCTGACTGAGATGACTGGGGTAAGTGCACACCAGCCGTGCCCCCCCCCCCACCCCACCCCCCTACTGTGCCAACTTGCTGCATTTTAGCCGCCCGGCGCCCCGCTCGTTGTCGTGAGCATCGCTCCTCTGCCCTCCTTTGTTGCTTAAGGGCGACTGCCTCCAACTGGCCAGTAGCAGCGTCCTTCACGAGCCTCCTCCTCGACAGAGAGCGATATTGACACCGCTGGTACCACTCATAGGTAAGTCCACTCAGCTCCACATCCTCCTGTACCACATCACTCCGTCTCTTCTCCAGCCCATGTCGAGCCCGTTTAGCCCCCTCTATGCGGCCAAACAGACGCTGCTTGGGTATGCGGTGACTGGGCATGCGGGTTACATGACCCAGCCATCGCAACCTTGCCTGCCGGAGGAGCTCACTGATTGGAATGTGTCGAGATCTTTCAAGGATTTGTGAGCTCCTCACACAGTCCAGCCTTGATTAAACCCAGGATGGAGCGTAGGGCAGGCCAGCCTGAATGTTTCTAACCAGCGCAGATGTTCCATTAGAGGGGTCCACGTTTCACAAGCATAAAGAAGGGAGGGAATGACCATGGCCGAGAAGACCCAAAGCTTCATGCGGAACGACAGATCAGGTAGCTTCCACACAGCGTTACGCAACAGATGAAAAGATAATGCCACTCGACTGATTCGGAGTGAGACCTCTGCTGTCAAACTGGAGCCGGTCATAAGCAAACTGCCCAGGTATGGGAAACTCTCCACTGATGGTAAGGCCCCACCTCTTAGTGACACTCCAGATTCAGAAGCAGCACCTCCAACTCCTCCTCTGAGTGAGCAGCAATTACCAGATCGTCCACATACAAAACATGGTTGACCAATAGGGAGCCGTCCCTCAACTGCACCTGGGTATCAAACAGCCTCCCGTTGTATCTGTACCAGATAGAAATTCCTCTGGTACAGTCATAGAAAGCTTCTTGAACTATGTAGTCAAAGTTGATGTTAAATAATGTGGGAGCCAGAGGACATCCCTGTCGCACCCCAAGGTGAACAGGGAATGGCTTCGACTCAGAGCCATGTAGTTTTACCCGGGCCAGCTCACCATCATGAAGGTCCTTAATGATCGTGAGCAGGGGGTCAGGGACTCCGAAAGCACGAAGAACAACCCAGAGCCCAGGCCTACTGGTGGTATCATAGGCCTTGACCAGGTCAATAAAGCAGAGATGTAGGTCTTGTTGAAATTCCCTACACCTCTGCTGTAGCAGACGGACAGAATATGGCATCCGTGCAGGACTGCCCTGGTCTGAAGCCGCATTGGGGCTCCGCAAGCCTCTCCTCAGCATGCCTGGCAAGGCGATGTTGAACAATCCTTGCCCACTGAGAACAGAGATGCACCAGGGCATCCTTCCAATCCTGCGGAACCCGCCCTGTGGTCCAGACGGTTGGTAATGATTTCACGTGTGGGCTGTCTGCAGCACACAGACGCTACCCTCCCTCAGCATTTCGCTTGGGAGATCGTCTCTCTGCCCGGCGCTTTTCCTGGTCTCGGACTTTGCATCGCCCCTTGCACTCCCTTCGCAGACGGCACCTCAGCCAACCATTCAGAAGATGGGTGGCTACTTCCGCCAACATTGGAGGCACGGCAGCCCTAGCAGGGTCGTCCCCTAATTGGCCTCACGATGTTGTCTGGGATTGAGGGAATTCCCCTGCCCCCCCCCACCCCCCCAAGACCTCACAAAAATGCTCCGCAAACCTGCCGGCCACTTCCTGGGTGTCGGAGATGGATGGTGCAAGTTACTTTTCTGATGGAATTAAATAGCGATTACAATACATAGAGCACATTGGTATGGCACGTTACAGTACACATAGCACATTAGCATGGTCCATTATTATACATAGCAGCGGCGAAAAACTCTCTAAACGTTTGGTGACGTTGGTTGATTCTAAATGTGGAGGGGAAACAACGGAGGAGGCCTGGGAGACAAGTCCATGCGCCCACGGGGAGAGAGAGAGAGACGCAAACTTGAAATATACCAGGCGAGGTAGTCAACATCTCCTAGCTACCGTGATGATGATGAGAGAGAGACGCAGACTCCAAATCTACAGCAGCAGCAACAGGCGTCGTCAGGGTTGGGATCGAACCCACGACCTCCTGCACACCAGGCGAGGTAGTCAACATCTCCTAGCCACCGTGATGATGATGATGAGAGAGACGCAGACTCCAAATCTACAGCAGCAGCAGCAGGCGTCATCAGGGTCGGGATAGAACCCACGACCTCCAGTATACCGGGCGAGGTAGTCAACATCTCCTAGCCACTGTGATGATGATGAGAGAGAGAGAGACGCAGACTCCAAATCTACAGCAGCAGCAGGCGTCGTCAGGGTCGGGATCGAACCCACGACCTCCTGCGCACCAGGCGAGGTAGTCAACATCTCCTAGCCACCGTGATAATGATGATGATGAGAGAGAGAGACGCAGACTCCAAATCTACAGCAGCAGCAGGCATCGTCACGGTCGGGATCGAACCCACGACCTCCTGCACACCAGGCGAGGTAGTCAACATCTCCTAGCCACCGTGATGATGATGATGATGAGAGAGAGACGCAGACTCCAAATCTACAGCAGCAGCAGGCGTCGTCAGGGTCGGGATCGAACCCACGACCTCCTGCACACCGGGCGAGGTAGTCAACATCTCCTAGCCACCGTGATGATAATGATGATGAGACAGAGAGACGCAGACTCCAAATATACAGCAGCAGCAGCAGGCGTCGTCAGGGTCGGGATCGAACCCACGACCTCCTGTGCACCAGGCGAGGTAGTCAACATCTCCTAGCCACCGTGATGATGATGATGATGATGAGAGAAAGAGACGCAGACTCCAAATCTACAGCAGCAGCAGGCATCGTCACGGTCGGGATCGAACCCACGACCTCCTGCACACCAGGCGAGGTAGTCAACATCTCCTAGCCACCGTGATGATGATGATGATGAGAGAGAGACGCAGACTCCAAGTCTACAGCAGCAGCAGGCGTCGTCAGGGTCGGGATCGAACCCACGACCTTCTGCACACCAGGCGAGGTAGTCAACATCTCCTAGCCACCGTGATGATAATGATGATGATGAGAGAGAGAGACGCAGACTCCAAATCTACAGCAGCAGCAGGCGTCGTTAGGGTCGGGATCGAACCCACGACCTCCTGCACACCAGGCGAGGTAGTCAACATCTCCTAGCCACGGTGATGATGATGATGAGAGAGAGAGACACAGACTCCAAATCTACAGCAGCAGCAGGCATCGTCAGGGTCGGGATCGAATCCACGACCTCCTGCACACCAGGCGAGGTAGTCAACATCTCCTAGCCACCGTGATGATGATGATGATGAGAGAGACGCAGACTCCAAATCTACAGCAGCAGCAGCAGGCGTCGTCAGGGTCGGATCAAACCCACGACCTCCAGTATACCGGGCGAGGTAGTCAACATCTCCTAGCCACTGTGATGATGATGAGAGAGAGAGAGACGCAGACTCCAAATCTACAGCAGCAGCAGCAGGCGTCGTCAGGGTCGGGATCGAACCCACGACCTCCTGCACACCGGGCGAGGTAGTCAACATCTCCTAGCCACCGTGATGATGATGAGAGAGAGAGAGACGCAGACTCCAAATCTACAGCAGCAGCGGCAGGCATCGTCAGGGTCGGGATCGAACCCACGACCTCCAGTATACCAGGCGAAGTAGTCAACATCTCCTAGCCACCGTGATGATGATGATGAGAGAGAGAGAGACACAGACTCCAAATCTACAGCAGCAGCAGCAGGCATCGTCAGGGTCGGGATCGAACCCACGACCTCCAGTATACCAGGCGAGGTAGTCAACATCTCCTAGACCACTGTGGCGGAAACACCGGCCCCCCCCCTAACCTTTCTTGCGGATGGTGTTGGGAGCCGCGCTGCCCGGATCGGACTCCGGCTCCGTGCTGGAGTCCGCCTCGGGCTCCGGCTCCGGCTCTGGCTTTTCTATCCGCGTGACCGTCACGGTCTTGATGGCCAGGCGGTTGCCGCTGTGCCGGATCACGTTCACCACGTCGCGGTGACCGCTCTTCACCACGTTTTTACCGTTCACCTGTGGCGGGGTGGAGGGAGGGGCATGGCAGAGTGGGGGGGTGGAGCGAGGGGCGATGGGCGGGGCAGGGGCGGGGCAATGGGTTGAGGGGCGGGTGAGGGTTGGGGCAGGGGGCGTGGCAAGGGGTGAGGACGAGGCAGGGGTGAGGGGTGGGGCAAGGGGTAGTGGTAAGGGGTGAGAGGCGGGGCAGGGAGTGAGGGGAGGGGCACGGGGCGTGGCAAGGGACGGGGCAGGGGGTGAGGGGTGGGGCACGGGGCGTGGCAAGGGGTGAGGACGAGGCAGGGGTAAGGGGTGGGGCAAAGGGTAGTGGTAAGGGGTGAGAGGCGGGGCAAGGAGTGAGGGGAGGGGCAAGGGGCGTGGCAAGGGGTGAGTGACGGGGCAGGGGGTGGGGCAAGGGGCGTGACAATGGGGTTATGGGGCGGGGCAGGGCAGAACCAATCATATCATGGGACACCTTTTTTGGACAGAGTCGGTCTTCAACCGTTTTTATTACGGCAATAAAACAGCAGGAGTTGTGCTCAGGTGTTCGAACGCCAGATGACGGCTTTTGCAAGGTAATCAAGTTCCTGAATTAACCACACAAGGGTGCTTGGGGCTTCACATCCAGCAGTCGCTTCACACGGCTCTTGTCCCCCACTCCTTCTGACACTTGGGGGGGGGGGGGCGTCCATAAATGACGTCACGCGATTTTGAACAATTTTTGACCCCCCCCTAAAATATGACGTCACAAAGTTCTGTCCCCCCCTCCCCCCTCACACCAAAACCATATTTCCATTTTGAAAATAAAACCCGCTTTTCAAATCGCTTTCAACTGTCGTCATTGTAGCGTGCATTTAATGTCTTAGAACAATTGGCGTTGTTATAACAATTCTAGATTTATTTAAAGTCGCGCATTTTTACGTGACGTCACATTTCTCAAACACACCCCCCCCCTCCCAGGTACGTGACGTCATTTATGGACCGCCCCTCGGTGCTACGCCCATTTTAAACCTTGATAAAACAGTTGCAGTGAGAGGCTTAACCCCACACTTTTCCTCTCCGCCTGATCACGACCACACATTACAACTAATTACTAATCTACAACTCATTACTAATCATAACCGTTGACTGGTTACCAATCGATTATATAATCACTGCACCTGAATGAGTTAAATGATGACGTCACCCTGCTGCTCGATTTAAGACCGGGAGCAAGTGGAGCGGGATTTACCATTCTAGAGCGAATTGCCCGACGATGCTGGATGTAATTACCTGCGAAACGTCTTACTCAAACTGTAAATGTTGTGGATTCACTCTTCAACAACACCACCGGCGTGGGGCTAAAGTAGTGAACTATTTTGTCTTTTGTCAACGTGCGACTTTTTTGCTGATTCGCCGTGTCGGGTGGTGGAGGGTTACGACACATTTATAAAATTACGCGATCTCACCCAAAAACCTTTATTATGAATGATATTGGTCGCGAAAGCCTACGTGTTAAACCGCTCGTGTTGCGATCAAAAAGTCGTGAAAGTGTTTTATATATATTCTTGGTTCTTTCGGTAAAGTCACGTAGAAGGCCTGCTGAATCTCACTAGGCCTCACTAAGGCTCACCAAGGCCTACAAGGAGACTCACCACCAAGGCCTCACTAAGGCTCACCAAGGCCTACAGCGAGACTCACCACCAAGGCCTGCTGAATCTCACTAGGCCTCACTAAGGCTCACTAGGCCTCCGACGAGCCTCACTAAGGTTCACCAAGGCCTGCTGAATCTCACTAAGGCTCACAAGGCCTCCCACAAGGCTCACCAAGGCCTGCTGAATCTCACTAGGCCTCGCTAAGGCTCACTCGGCCTACCAGGAGCCTCACCAAGGCCTGCTGAATCTCACTAGGCCTAAGGCTCACTAGGCCTCCCACGAGCCTCGCCAAGGCTCGCCAAGGCCTGCTGAATTTCACTAGGCCTAAAGCTCACTAGCCCTCCCACGAGCCTCACCAAGGCCTGCTGAATTTCATTAGGCCTCACTAAGGCTCACTAGGCCTCCCACAAGTCTCAATAAGGCCTGCTGAATCTTACTAGGCCTAAGGCTCACTAGGCCTCCCACGAGCCTCACCAAGGCCTGCTGAATCTCACTAGGCCTAAGGCTCACTAGGCCTCCCACAAGCCTCAATAAGGCCTGCTGAATCTCATTAGGCCTAAGGCTCACTAGGCCTCCCACGAGCCTCACCAAGGCCTGCTGAATCTCACTAGGCCTAAGGCTCACTAGGCCTCCCACAAGCCTCAATAAGGCCTGCTGAATCTCATTAGGCCTAAGGCTCACTAGGCCTCCCACGAGCCTCACCAAGGCCTGCTGAATCTCACTAGGCCTAAGGCTCACTAGGCCTCCCACAAGCCTCAATAAGGCCTGCTGAATCTCACTAGGCCTAAGGCTCACTAGGCCTCCCACGAGCCTCACTAAGGCTCACCAAGACCTGCTGACGGCAGGGGGGGGGAGGTCTCCCCTCACCGGCGACCCTTCTCCCCCACAGTGAAAACTAAACAATGTTTTATTGTATTCTTGATTCTTTCGGTAAAGTCACGTAGAAGGGAAACAATAAAATAATAAAGTATAAAACAATGTTTTATTGTTGACTCTTTCGGTAAAGCCACGTAGAAGGGAAACAATAAAATAATAAAAATAAAAAGCAATATTTTTTATTTTATTTTATTGTTTCCGTTCTACGTGGTGACTTCACCGAAAGAACCAAGAATATGAATCCCTGCAGTCACGAAAGCTTCAAATCAAAATTTTATGTTTTATTGCTACCAGGTAAGGCCCCCCCCAACCGCACTGCCCTGCTTTGTAGTAGCTCGATTTCAGAAGCGACCCTGGGCCATCGCAAAGTGACAGCAGCTCAACCACCAAGTGGCTCACGTCATCGTTACCGTGTGGATATTTACAGCTAAAGCAAAATACTCTAAAATCAGCGGTCCCCAAACCTTTTTGGCACCAGGTACCTCGTTTCGTGGTAGCAATTTTTTTCACGGACCGGGGTGGGGGGTGAGGTTGGTGTTCATCATTGGGGGTCTTTCCCACTTGTCAAAGAAGCTCTCTGGTGACGTTTTTTTTTAACTCATTGTGGCTACTAGGGGTCAGCTTGTGGTGTTACCAACACCGTGATTGAGACCGAGTGCGCTGTGTGTGAGCAAGGTCCCATCGGTGAGCTCCTCCGGCAGGCAAGGCTGCGTTGGCTGGGTCATGTAGCCCGCATGCCCAGCCACCCCATGCCTAAACAGCTTTTGTTCGGCCGGATCGAGGGGGCTAAATGGGCGCGGCATGGGGCTAGAGAAGAGATGGAGTGATGTGGTACAGGAGGCACGGGGCTAGAGAAGAGATGGAGTGATGTGGTACAGGAGGCACGGGGCTAGAGAAGAGATGGAGTGATGCGGTACAGGAGGCACGGAGCTAGAGAAGAGATAGAGTGACGTGGTACAAGAGGCACGGGGCTAGAGAAGAGATGGAGTGATGTGGTACAGGAGGCACGGGGCTAGAGAAGAGATGGAGTGATGTGGTACCGGAGGCACGGAGCTAGAGAAGAGATGGAGTGATGTGGTACCGGAGGCACGGGGCTAGAGAAGAGATGGAGTGATGCGGTACAGGAGGACGTGGAGCTGAGTGGACTTGCCGATGACTGGTACCAGCGGTGTCAAGATCGGCCTCTGTGGAGGAGGCTCGTGAAGGACGCTGCTACTGGGCAGTTGGAGGCAGTCGCCCTCCAACAACGGAGGGCGGAGGAGCGACGCTCACAATAACGAGCGGAGCGCCGGGTGGCTAAAGCACAGCAGGTTGGCACAGTAGGGGGCACAGGTGGTGCGCATCAGCCAGTCATCTCAGTCAGTCGACCCGTGGCACCTGCTGGGTCTGCCCCGTGACCTGCCAGCGGGCGTTCGACACTTCACGTGGTAGCCTCAAGGTGCACATGGCCTGGCACAAGCGTCGTGGTGACGTCACCGCCACTTAGTGGCGAATGGCGGTTGTTGTTGTTGTGCGGGAAAGAGTCTTGAAGTTGTGAATAATAAAATAATGGGGGCGGGCCACGTGCGGACTTCACCGCTCTCACCTCCTGCGGCCCGGTTCCCAACAGGCCACAGACCGGTACCGGTCACGCGGCCCTAAATGCTTGGCGATGTCCATTCTAAATGCGTGAGAAAAATCCGCGCGACCACCAGCACGGAGAGCGAGGAGGAGAGGAGAGGAGGAGGAGGAGGACGCAGACTCCCAATATACAGCGGCAGTAGCAGCAGGCATCGTCAAGGGTCGGGATCGAACCCACGAAAACTTTCGAGGTAGTCAACACTTCACCTCCACAATGAAGGCCCCGGTGGTGAGGCCGGCTCGGGCCGCCACCCCGCCCTCGTCGACCTTCTCCAGGTACTGCAGCGCCGGGAAGGCCGCGGTCGGCTCAAACTCTGAGACCGGCACGTCCGCTGGGGGGGGGGGGGGGGGGGTGTGGGGGAGACACGGGGTGAGACACGGGTGTGGAGAGAGACACGGGTGGTGAGAGAGACACAGTGAGAGAGACACGGGTGGGGAGAGAGACACAGTGAGCGACACAGTGAGAGAGACACGGGTGGGGAGAGAGACACGGGTGGAGAGAGAGACACGGGTGGGGAGAGAGACACAGTGAGAGAGACACGGGTGGGGAGAGAGACACGGGTGTGGAGAGAGACACGGGTGGGGAGAGAGACACAGGGTGAGACACGGGTGGGGAGAGAGACACGGATGGAGAGAGAGAGACACAGTGAGCGACACAGTGAGAGAGACACGGGTGGGGAGAGAGACACAGTGAGAGAGACACGGGTGGGGAGAGAGACACGGGTGGGGAGAGAGACACAGTGAGAGAGACACGGGTGGGGAGAGAGACACGGATGGAGAGAGAGACAGAGTGAGCGACACAGTGAGAGAGACACGGGTGGGGAGAGAGACACAGTGAGCGACACTGAGAGAGACACAGGTGGGGAGAGAGACACGGGTGGGGAGAGAGACACGGGTGGGGAGAGAGACACGGGTGGGGAGAGAGACACGGGCGGGGAGAGAGACACGGGTGGGGAGAGAGACACGGGTGGGGAGAGAGACACGGATGGGGAGAGAGACACGGGTGGGGAGAGAGACACGGGTGTGGAGAGAGACACGGGTGTGGAGAGAGACACGGGTGGGGAGAGAGACACGGGTGGGGAGAGAGACACGGGTGGGGAGAGAGAGACGGGTGGGGAGAGAGACACGGGTGTGGAGAGAGACACGGGTGGGGAGAGAGACACGGGTGGGGAGAGAGACACGGGTGGGGAGAGAGACACGGGTGTGGAGAGAGACACGGGTGTGGAGAGAGACACGGGTGGGGAGAGAGACACGGGTGGGGAGAGAGACACGGGTGGGGAGAGAGACACGGGTGGGGAGAGAGACACGGGTGGGTAGAGAGACACGGGTGGGGAGAGAGACACGGGTGGGGAGAGAGACACGGGTGGGGAGAGAGACACAGTGAGCGACACAGTGAGAGAGACACAGGTGGGGAGAGAGACACGGGTGGGGAGAGAGACACGGGTGGGGAGAGAGACACGGGGTGAGACACGGGTGGGGAGAGAGACACGGGTGGGGAGAGAGACACGGGTGGGGAGAGAGACACGGGGTGAGACACGGGTGGGGAGAGAGACACGGGTGGGGAGAGAGACACGGGTGGGGAGAGAGACACGGGTGGGGAGAGAGACACGGGGTGAGACACGGGTGGGGAGAGAGACACGGGTGGGGAGAGACACACGGGGTGAGACACGGGTGGGGAGAGAGACACGGGTGGGGAGAGAGACACGGGTGGGGAGAGAGACACAGTGAGCGACACAGTGAGAGAGACACAGGTGGGGAGAGAGACACGGGTGGGGAGAGAGACACAGGTGGGGAGAGAGACACGGGGTGAGACACGGGTGTGGAGAGACACACGGGGTGAGACACGGGTGGGGAGAGAGACACGGGTGTGGAGAGAGACACGGGTGGGGAGAGAGACACGGGTGTGGAGAGAGACACGGGTGTGGAGAGAGACACGGGTGGGGAGAGAGACACGGGTGGGGAGAGAGACACGGGTGTGGAGAGAGACACGGGTGTGGAGAGAGACACGGGTGGGGAGAGAGACACGGGTGGGGAGAGAGACACGGGTGGGGAGAGAGACACGGGTGGGGAGAGAGACACGGGTGGGGAGAGAGACACGGGTGGGGAGAGAGACACGGGTGGGGAGAGAGACACGGGGTGAGACACGGGTGGGGAGAGAGACACGGGTGGGGAGAGAGACACGGGTGGGGAGAGAGACACAGTGAGCGACACAGTGAGAGAGACACAGGTGGGGAGAGAGACACGGGTGGGGAGAGAGACACGGGTGGGGAGAGAGACACGGGGTGAGACACGGGTGGGGAGAGAGACACGGGTGGGGAGAGAGACACGGGGTGAGACACGGGTGGGGAGAGAGACACGGGTGGGGAGAGAGACACGGGTGGGGAGAGAGACACGGGTGGGGAGAGAGACACGGGGTGAGACACGGGTGGGGAGAGAGACACGGGTGGGGAGAGAGACACGGGTGGGGAGAGAGACACGGGTGGGGAGAGACACACGGGGTGAGACACGGGTGGGGAGAGAGACACGGGTGTGGAGAGACACACGGGGTGAGACACGGGTGGGGAGAGAGACACGGGTGTGGAGAGAGACACGGGTGGGGAGAGAGACGCGGGGTGAGACACGGGTGGGGAGAGAGACACGGATGGAGAGAGACACACAGTGAGCGACACAGTGAGAGAGACACGGGTGGGGAGAGAGAAACAGTGAGAGAGACACGGGTGGGGAGACATGGAGAGAGAGAGACACCACGGGGAGAGACATGGGTGAGGAAAGACGCGGGGGAGAGAGAGACACGGGTGGGGAGAGAGACACGGGTGGGGAGAGAGACACGGGTGGGGAGAGAGACACGGGTGGGGAGAGAGACACGGGGTGAGGCACGGACAACGGGCCAGATGATACGAGGAGATATGGGCATACACGGGGAGACACTGCAATACACTGGAGACACGGGGTGAGGACAGGGAGATGGCGGGAGAGACACCGGTGGGGAGACATGGAGAGAGAGACGCACCACGGGGAGAGACACGGGTGGGGAAAGACGCGGGGGAGAGAGAGACACGGGTGGGGAGAGAGACACGGGTGGGGAGAAATGGAGAGAGAGAGACACACCACGGGGAGAGACACGGTGAGAGAGACACGGGAGAAGAGAGACACAGGTGGGGAGAGAGACACAACCATGGGAAGAGACACGGTGAGAGAGACACGGGGGAAGAGAGACACGGGGGAGAGACACGGTGAGAGAGACACAGTGAGAGAGACACAGGTGGGGCGACAGACACAGGTGGGGAGAGAGACACGGTGAGAGAGACACGAGTGGGGAGACAGACACAGGTGGGGAGAGACACGGTGAGCGAGACACGGGGAGAGAGACACACCATGGGGAGAGAGACACGGTGAGAGAGACACGGGTGGGGAGAGACACACCATGGAGAGAGACACAGTGAGAGAGACACGGGTGGGGAGAGAGACACGGGTGGAGAGACACGGTGAGAGAGACACGGGTGGAGTGACACACCATGGGGAGAGACACGGTGAGAGAGACACGGTGAGAGAGACACACCATGGAGAGAGAGACACGGGTGGAGAGACACACCATGGGGAGAGAGACACGGGTGGAGTGACACACCATGGGGAGAGACACGGTGAGAGAGACACGGGTGGGGAGAGACACGAGTGGAGTGACACGGTGAGAGAGACACACCATGGTGAGAGAGACACGGGTGGAGTGACACACCATGGGGAGAGAGACACGGGTGGAGTGACACCATGGGGAGAGACACGGTGAGAGAGACACGGGTGGGGAGAGACACGGGTGGAGTGACACGGTGAGAGAGACACACCATGGTGAGAGAGACACGGGTGGAGTGACACACCATGGGGAGAGATACACGGGTGGAGTGACACACCATGGGGAGAGACACGGTGAGAGACACGGGTGGGGAGAGAGACACACCATGGGGAGAGACACGGTGAGAGAGACACACCATGGTGAGAGAGACACAATGGGGAGAGAGACACGGGTGGAGTGACACACCATGGTGAGAGAGACACGGTGAGAGAGACACAGTGAGAGAGACACAGGGGGGGGCGACAGACACAGGTGGGGAGAGAGACACGGTGAGAGAGACACGGGTGGGGAGAGAGACACGGGTGGAGAGACACGGTGAGAGAGACACGGGTGAGGAGAGACACGGTGAAAGAGACACACCATGGGGACAGAGACACGGGTGGAGTGACACACCATGGGGAGAGACACGGTGAGAGAGACACGGGTGGGGAGAGAGACACGGTGAGAGAGACACGGGTGGAGTGACACACCATTGTGAGAGAGACACACCATGGTGAGAGAGACACGGTGAGAGAGACACGGGTGGAGTGACACACCATGGGGAGAGAGACACACCATGGGGAGAGAGACACGGGTGGGGAGAGACACGGGTGGGGAGTGACACGGGTGGGGAGAGACACGGTGAGAGAGACACGGGTGGGGAGAGACACGGGTGGGGAGAGACACGGGTGGGGAGAGACACGGGTGGGGAGAGACACGGGTGGGGAGTGACACGGGTGGGGAGAGACACGGGTGGGGAGAGACACGGGTGGGGAGTGACACGGGTGGGGAGAGACACGGGTGGGGAGAGTGACACGGGTGGGGAGTGACACGGGTCGAGTTGTCCTCCTTACCTTTGGCCCCGCGGAGGACGAAGCCGAAGCCCTCGTTGTCCTGCTTCTGGAGGACCACACAACGCTCGCGGACGGACACCTCCCTGCGCAACAAAGACAAAGTTCCCCCGTGTAGCCTCCCGCGGACTGTCGGGGCAAGTGCCGATAGAGCAGCGAGCAGCAGCAGCAGCGGGAAGGACGCGGAGCTGGGGGCACGCGGCCTGGCACCATGCACGCTCGGCCGTCTTTGTCCATCCCCCCACCTCCCCCCACCCCAGTGACAACGTTTGATACAAACACCACAGCAGGTACTCATTTGAGGCCGAGTCTACCTAGGGGAGAAGGCCCAGGTCCGGTGAGTGGTAGGGGTAGAGGCAGGGTGAGTGGTAGGTGTAGATTGGTAGGTGTAGAGTGGTAGGTGTAGAGTGGTAGGTGTAGTGGTAGGTGTGAGTGGTAGGGGTAGAGTGGTAGGTGTGAGTGGTAGGTGTGAGTGGTAGGTGTGAGTGGTAGGTGTGAGTGGTAGGTGTAGAGTGGTAGTAGTAAGTGTAGAGTGGTAGGTGTAGAGTGGTAGTGGTAGGTGTAGAGTGGTAGGTGTAGTGGTAGGTGTAGAGTGGTAGTGGTAGGTGTAGAGTGGTAGGTGTAGAGTGGTAGGTGTAGTGGTAGGTGTAGTGGTAGGTGTGAGTGGTAGGTGTAGAGTGGTAGTGGTAGGTGTAGAGTGGTAAGTGTAGAGTGGTAGGTGTAGAGTGGTAGTGGTAGGTGTAGAGTGGTAGGTGTAGTGATAGGTGTGAGTGGTAGGTGTAGTGATAGGTGTGAGTGGTAGGTGTAGAGTGGTAGGTGTAGAGTGGTAGGTGTAGAGGTAGGTGTAGAGGTAGGTGTAGAGTGGTAGGTGTAGTGGTAGGTGTAGAGTGGTAGGTGTAGAGTGGTAGGTGTAGAGGTAGGTGTAGAGTGGTAGGTGTGAGTGGTAGGTGTAGAGTGGTAGGTGTAGTGGTAGGTGTAGTGGTAGGTGTAGAGTTGTAGGTGTGAGTGGTAGGTGTAAATAGTAGGTGTAGAGTGGTAGGTGTAGAGGTAGGTGTAGTGGTAGATGTGAGTGGTAGGTGTAGAGTGGTAGGTGTGTGTGGTAGGTGTGAGTGGTAGGTGTAGAGTGGTAGGTGTAGTGGTAGATGTAAGTGGTAGGTGTAGTGGTAGGTGTAAGTGGTAGATGTGAGTGGTGTGAGTGGTAGGTGTAAGTGATAGGTGTTAGTGGTAGGTGGTAGATGTAGTGGTAGGTGTAAGTGGTAGGTGTGAGTGGTAGGTGTAGTGGTAGGTGTAAGTGGTAGGTGTGAGTGGTAGGTGTGAGTGGTAGGTGTGAGTGGAAGGTGTAAGTGGTAGATGTAAATGGTAGATGTGAGTGGTGTGAGTGGTAGGTGTAAATGATAGGTGTTAGTGGTAGGTGGTAGGTGTAGTGGTAGGTGTGAGTGGTAGGTGTGAGTGGTGTGAGTGGTAGGTGTGAGTGGTAGATGTGAGTGGTGTGTGTGAGTGGTAGATGTGAGTGGTGTGAGTGGTAGGTGTAGTGGTAGGTGGTAGGTGTAGTGGTAGGTGTAAGTGGTAGGCGTGAGTGGTAGGTGTGGTAGGTGTGAGTGGTAGGTGTGAGTGGTAGGTGTGAGTGGTGTGAGTGGTAGGTGTGAGTGGTGTGAGTGGTAGGTGTAGTGGTAGGTGGTAGGTGTGAGTGGTGTGAGTGGTAGGTGTAGTGGTAGGTGGTAGGTGTAGTGGTAGGTGTGAGTGGTAGGTGTGAGTGGTGTGAGTGGTGTGAGTGGTAGGTGTGAGTGGTAGGTGTAAGTGGTAGGTGTGAGTGGTGTGAGTGGTAGGTGTGAGTGGTGTGAGTGGTAGGTGTGAGTGGTGTGAGTGGTAGGTGCGAGTGGTGTGAGTGGTAGGTGTAAGTCACCCAGCGTCAACGTTGGCCATCCCATACGGCCCTTGGTGCCGTGCAGACTGCGGCGGAGATTCTGACGAAAAAGACAAAGGCGGCGTGAGAGACACAGAGACAGAGAGACACAGAGACACACAGATACAGAGAGAGACACACAGAGACACAGAGAGAGAGACACAGAGAGCGAGAGAGACAGAGACAGAGACACAGAGACAGAAACACAGAGACAGAGAGAGACAGAGACAGAGAGAGACACACACACAGAGACAGAGAGAGAGAGACAGAGAGAGAGACAGAGAGAGACAGAGAGAGAGAGACACAGAGACAGAGAGAGAGAGACACAGAGACAGAGAGAGAGACACACAGAGACACAGAGAGACACACAGAGAGAGAGACAGAGAGAGACACACAGACAGAGAGAGACACACAGAGACAGAGACAGAGAGACACACAGAGACAGAGACACAGAGACAGAAACACAGAGACAGAGAGAGACAGAGAGAGAGAGAGATACACACAGAGACAGAGAGAGACACACACAGAGACAGAGAGAGAGACAGAGAGAGAGAGAGACAGAGAGAGAGACACACAGAGAGACACAGAGAGACACACACAGAGACAGAGAGAGACACAGAGACAGAGGCACACACCCAGGACCCAGAGAGTGGTGGGGGTGCTTGGAACCCATGAGTTGTCGTCTTGGCTAACTGCGCATCTCCAAACACCGGGCAGGGGTCCGATCGTGAAACTTCCCAATAAGCCGTGGTGGTGGTGGTGAAACGGAGAAGGTTACAATGAGAAATGCAGGCGATGGATCCCTCCCTGGGTTAATGATTTGCACAAAGCCGCCTCTCCGAGCCAGCCGTGTGGTTGTGGCGAGGAATTTGTTGAGATTCCGAAGGGGGATAATCAGCCCCCCTCCGACTCTGTTTGTACAGATAGCGTGGGTGAGTCAGTGAGTGGGTGGGTGAGTCAGTGAGTGGGTGAGTCAGTGAGTGGGTGAGTGAGTCAGTGAGTGGGTGAGTCAGTGAGTGGGTGGGTGGGTGGGTGAGTCAGTGAGTGGGTGGGTGGGTGAGTCAGTGAGTGGGTGGGTGGGTGAGTCAGTGAGTGGGTGGGTGAGTCAGTGAGTGGGTGAGTCAGTGAGTGGGTCAGTGAGTCGGTGAGTCAGTGAGTGGGTGAGTGGGTGAGTCAGTGAGTGGGTGAGTGGGTGAGTCAGTGAGTGGGTGGGTGAGTCAGTGAGTGGGTGGGTGAGTCAGTGAGTGGGTGAGTCAGTGAGTGGGTGAGTGGGTGAGTCAGTGAGTGGGTTAGTGAGTCAGTGAGTGGGTGAGTCAGTGAGTGGGTGAGTCAGTGGGTGAGTGGGTGAGTCAGTGAGTGGGTGGGCGGGTGAGTCGGTGAATGAGTGGGTGAGTGAGTGGGTGAGTGGGTGAGTGAGTGGGTGAGTGGGTGAGTCAGTGGGTGGGTGGGTGAATCTGAGTGGGTGGGCGAGTCAGTGAGTGGGTGGGTGGGAGAGGGACTTAGTGGGTGGGTGGGAGAGGGACTGAGTGGGTGGGTGGGAGAGGGACTGAGTGGGTGGGTGAGTAGGAGAGGGACTTAGTGGGTAAGTTCGTGAGCCAGTGCGTGGATGAACGGGTGAGTGGGCGATAGTGTTACTGGGTGAGTTAGTGAGTGGATGGGTGTGTGGGTGGGTGAGTGGGTGGGTGTGTGGGTGAGTCAGTGGGTGAGTTAGTGAGCGAGTGAGTGGATGAACAGGTGAGTGGGTGAGTAGGCGAGAGAGTCAGTGGGTGAGTTAGTGAGTGGATGAACGGGTGAGTGGCTGTGTGGGTGGGTGGGAGAAATAGTCAGTGGCTGAGTGAGTGAATGGGTGAGTGAGCGGGTGAGCATGTGGGTGGGTGAGTGATCCCCCCCGTATATCCTTAACAGATTATTTGGGCAAGTGCTGTTAGCAAGAAGCACCTATGAAGGCCGGCACGGGTACAGACAAAGATCCCCCGTGTAGTCTTGAGCAGGCTGTTGTGGCAAGTGCTGTTAGCGAGTAGCACCTATGAAGGCCACACAGAGATTAAGATCCCCCGTGTAGCCTCTAGCAGCCTGTAGGGGCAAGTGCTGTTCCACACACACACACAAAGACAAGCTCCCCCGTGTAGCTTCTAGCAGGTTGTAGGGGCAAGTGCTGTTCCACACACAAAGACAAAGCTCCCCCGTGTAGCTTCTAGCAGGTTGTAGGGGCAAGTGCTGTTCCACACACACACAAAGCTCCCCCGTGTAGCCTCTAGCAGGCTGTAGGGGCAAGTGCTGTTCCACACACAAAGACAAAGCTCCCCCGTGTAGCTTCTAGCAGGTTGTAGGGGCAAGTGCTGTTCCACACACACACAAAGCTCCCCCGTGTAGCCTCTAGCAGGCTGTAGGGGCAAGTGCTGTTCCACACACACGAAGACAAAGCTCCCCCGTGTAGCCTCGAGCAGGCTGTAGGGGCTAAGTGCAGCAGCGACCCAACCGCTGCGCCACCACTCCCCAAGCGCCGTGTGCAAACAGCACACGTGGGGTGGCGCGCGAATTGCGTCAACAAGGAACGCGGAGCGGTCTCGCCGGGCAGGTTTGGCGAGTGACCCCAGTAAGTAGCGGGGGAGGGGGGCGGTCCATAAATGACGTCACGCGATTTTCGACGATTTTTGACCACCCCCCCCTCCATTCGTCACACGACGTCACAAAAAGCCAGCCACCTCCCCCTCAAATATGACGTCACAAAGCTCTGACCCCCCCTCCCCCCCCCCCAAAAACAAATTTTTTTTTCCATTTTTAAAATAAAAACGTGCTTCAAATCGCTTTAAACTATTGTCACTGCGGTGCGTATTTAATATGGCGCTGCACTCTGATGTTGAAGGAGTGTTGTTTTAACAATTCTAGATTTATTTAAAAGTTGCGCATTTTGATGTGACGTCACATTTCTCAAACAGCCCCCCACCTCGTCACAAATGTCTGAACCCCACCCCCTTGGTGCGTGACGTCATTTATGGACGGCCCCTTGGTGTGCTAACAGCACTTGCCCCTACAGCCTGTCACAGGCTACACGGGGGAGCTTTGTCTGTGTGTGTGTGTGGAACAGCACTTGCCCCTACAGCCTGTAACAGGCTACACGGGGGAGCTTTGTGTGTGTGTGTGTGTGGAACAGCACTTGCCCCTACAGCCCGTCACAGGCTACACGGAGGAGCTTTGTCTGTGTGTGTGTGGAACAGCACTTGCCCCTAGAGCCTGTCACAGGCTACACGGGGGAGCTTTGTCTGTGTGTGTGGAACAGCACTTGCCCCTACAGCCTGTCACAGGCTACACGGGGGAGCTTTGTCTGTGTGTGTGTGTGGAACAGCACTTGCCCCTACAGCCTGTCACAGGCTACACGGGGGAGCTTTGTGTGTGTGTGTGTGGAACAGCACTTGCCCCAGCAGCCTGCTCAAGGCTACACGGGGGATCTTTGTCTTTGTGAGCAGAGTTGCTGATGAGGATCCATCGGTTGAACGCTTTCTCAGCAGCAACACCCGCACCGTGGCGATCCACACGCAACAAAAACAAGCAAAGCTCCCCCAGGTAGCCTCTGACAGGGCTGTAAGGGTGGGAGGCTGGCAGGGCAGGGCAAGTGCTGTTCGCAGCGAGTAGCAGCAGCGCCTACGAAGTCAGACCCAGCTGGAGCAAGTGCTGGTGAACTTATCCAGATGTTGACAGGCAATGGACCGGCTTCCACATTCGGTGTCTCATCATCATCAGAGGCCAGGGACCGATTTCCACATTCGGTGTCTCATCATCATCAGAGGCCAGGGACCGGCTTCCACATTCGATGTCTCATCATCATCATCAAAGCCAGGGACCGGCTTCCACATTCGATGTCTCATCATCATCAAAGCCAGGGGACCGGCTTCCACATTCGATGTCTCATCATCATCAAAGCCAGGGACCGGTTTCCACATTCGGTGTCTCATCATCATCAAAGCCAGGGACCGGTTTCCACATTCGGTGTCTCATCATCATCAGAGGCCAGGGACAGGTTTCCACATTCGGTGTCTCATCATCATCAGAGGCCAGGGACTGGCTTCCACATTCGGTGTCTCATCATCATCAAAGCCAGGGACAGGTTTCCACATTCGATATCTCATCATCATCAAAGCCAGGGACAGGTTTCCACATTCGGTGTCTCATCATCATCAGAGGCCAGGGTCTGGCTTCCACATTCGGTGTCTCATCATCATCAAAGCCAGGGACAGGTTTCCACATTCGATATCTCATCATCATCAAAGCCAGGGACAGGTTTCCACATTCGGTGTCTCATCATCATCAAAGCCAGGGACAGGTTTCCACATTCGGTGTCCCATCATCATCATCAGCACTCGCACGAGACGGTGGGGGTATCACTGTGGTGGTGGTGGTGCCTCAACTGGTTAAACAAAATCAATCGTCATCGGCCGAGACAACCACGAACTTGGGCAATTTCTTCCTCTGCTGCTGGTTTCACCAAACCTGATGAAGCTTTATGAGACCTCCTTTGCCAGTAACAAGATATAGTAATAGGTTTTTACCATTTTAACTGGCACAAAAAAACTGACACCTTTATTCAAGGCATCATGTTTGCAATAACCACAACACAAGCAGTCACAAATGCAAACAAAAGAGACAACTCTGATAATAATATTGGCACTGTCCTTGAATTTGATTGGTCCACACCTGAGACGGCTTTTCTTAGAGCCTAGTCTCCACTGTTGTTGTGGTTATTGCAAACATGATGCCTTGAATAAAGGTGTCAGTTTTTGTGCCAGTTAAAAGGGTAAAACCTATTACTATATCTTGTTACTGGCAAAGGAGGTCTCATAATGTAAATGCTCACCGCGAGCCCTCAATACTCTGATGGTGCGCTGTTTTTGAGTTGTACGCCTTTTGGCGTCTTCTGGTCCAACACCAGTGGAGACTAAAGGGCTCTAAGAAAAGCCGTCTCGGGTGTGGACCAATCAAATTCAAGGACAGTGCCAATATTTCGATTTAAAGCTTTCGTGACTGCAAGGAATTCATCTTCTTTGGTCCTTTCGGTAAAGTCACCACCACGTAGAATGAGAATAAAATAATAAATTGATAAAATAACACGATAAAATTCTCACGACGTTTCGGCCACAACACCTGCGGAGGCCGCTTGTGTTGTGGCCGAAACGTCGTGAGAATTTAATCGCGTTATTTTATTTTATCAATTTCTTATTTTATTCTCATTCTACGTGGTGGTGACTTTACCGAAAGAACCAAAGAAGACGGTGCCAATATTATTATCATCAAAGTTGTCTCTCGTTTTGTTTGCATTTGTGACCGCTTGCGTCGTGGTCATTGCAAACATGAAGCCTTGAATAAAGGTTCCCGGTTTTTTTTGTGTGCCAGTTAAAAGGAGGGGTGAAAAAAACAACCTATTACTGATGAAGCTTGCTCCTTGTTTTTTTTTTGCGATCCAAACGTCCGTCCATCCATCACGTCCCTCCCTTACCTCCACGGGATTCTCAGCTGGGGGCCACGACAGCTTCAAGTCTAGATGTTGCTTCAAAGCAGTGGACGCACACCCAAGCTGCTTTTAGATTGCAAATTCGAAATTGTGTTCCCCGTCGCTGCAAGTCCGGGCACAGAACGCATCTGCGGCATGCGCTCAGACAAAGTCGCCCCAGCGGAGAACACGGAGGGGCCTCGCCGCTGGGGCGAGTGGCTTTGCCCGCCGGCGGCACGAGGGCTTGCCCAGCGACCACGCCTGGCCGCCTTCGTCTCCCCGGCGGCGATGTTTATGCTCCGCTACACCGGGCAGTCATTTGAGGCCGAGCCGACCTAGGTGAGAGGTGGGGTGGGGGTGGGGGGAGGGCTCACAGGGCCGGGTGAGACGATCGTCATTGCTGCTGGTGGTGCTGGTGGCGGAGGCGGTGGTGGTGGCCGTGAGCGGGAATCGGAACTCGGGTGGGCCCGGTTCGTAGCGCAGCGTAGCGCTAACCGCTGCGCCACCGCTCCTCACGTGCGAACGACGCAAACACACACTGACACATACTGACACACACTACACACACACCACACACTCACACCACACACTGACACACACTGTCGTACACACACACCACACACTGACACACACACTCACACACTGACACACACAGGCACACACTACACACACACCACACACTGACACACACACTCACACACAGACACACACTGACACACGCTGACGTACACACACACTGACACACGCTGACGTACACACACACTGACACACGCTGATACACACCGACATACACACACACTGACACACACTGACATACCCACACACCACACACACACACCACACACTCACCACACACTGACGTACACACACACTGACACACACTACACACACCCCACACACTGACACACACCGACATACACACACACTGACACACTCACACACACACATCACACACACTAACAAAGATAAAGATCCCCCGTATAGCCTTAACAGACTGTAGGGGCAAGTGCTGTTAGCGAGCACCTATGAAGGCCGGAACGGTACACGAGGGGGTGGGTGGCCAGCAACCACGCCCGACCGCCTTTGTCTCCCCAGTGGCGATGTTTACACACCGCACCAGGTACTCATTTGAGGCCGAGTCGACCTAGGAGAGGCCCAGGACCGGTTCGGATAATCGTCACCGGTGTTGGCCGTGAGCGGGAATCGAACTCGGGTCGCCAGGTTCATAGCGCAGCGTAGCGCTAACCGCTACCACCACCGCACCCCACACTAACACACTGACACACACACACATCACACACAAAGACGACTCCACACACACACCACACACTGACACACACACCACACACACTGACACTGACACACACACAGACACACACACAGACACATCACACACACAAAGACGACTCCACACACACACACCACACACTGACACACACACCACACACACTGACACTGACACACACACTGACACACACACAGACACACACACAGACACATCACACACACAAAGACAACTCCACACACACACCACACACTGACACACACACCACACACACTGACACTGACACACACACAGACACACACACAGACACATCACACACACAAAGACAACTCCACACACACACCACACACTGACACACACACTGACACTGATACTGACACACACACAGACACACACACATACACATCACACACACAAAGACAACTCCACACACTGACACACACACTGACACACACACACCGACACTGATACTGACACACACATACACATCACACACACAAAGACAACTCCACACACACACCACACACTGACACACACACATCACACACAAAGACGACTCCACACACACCACACACTGATACACACACCACACACACTGACACTGATACTGACACACACACAGACACACACGCGCGCTCTCTCCATCTCTCACCATCACTCATCCACACTCCTCCCTAACCCTATCGGGTTCTCTCCCCCCTCCTCCCCTCTCTCCCTCTCTCCATCTCACCCTCTCCTCCTCTCTCTCCCCCTCTCCATCTCCCCCTCTCCTCCTCTCTCTCCCCCTCTCCTCCTCTCTCTCCCCCTCTCCATCCCTCCCCTCTCTCCATCTCCCCCTCTCCATCCCCCCTATCTCTCTCCCTCTCTCTCCCCCCCTCTCCCCCCCCCCCCCACGCGCACTGTATTAGATGCGTCTCCACGTGTCATGCGTGGCTAGGAGATGTTGACTACCTCGCCTGGTGTGCAGGAGGTCGTGGGTTCTATCCCAGACCCTGACCCCTGCTGCTGTATATTTGGAGTCTGCGTCTCTTTCTCATCATCATCACGGTGGCTAGGAGATGTTGACTACCTCGCCCGGTGTGCAGGAGGTCGTGGGTTATATCCCAGACCCTGACGATGCCTGCTGCTGCTGCTGATTATTGGACATCTGTTGCTACTGCACACCTGTGACGAAAAAAAGCTTCATAGCTCATCGGATTTCTGCTTCTGATATTTTGAGAGTTTTTAGAATCGACATCAGCGCGCGCTCAGAATATTTGGCTGTAAATGTCCACACGGCGATGGTGATGATGGTGGTGGTGGTGATGATGGTGATGATGGTGGTGGTGATGATGATGGTGATGATGGTGATGATGGTGGTGGTGATGATGATGATGGTGGTGGTGGTGATGATGATGGTGATGATGGTGGTGGTGATGGTGATGATGGTGGTGGTGATGATGATGGTGATGATGGTGGTGGTGATGATGATGGTGATGATGGTGGTGGTGATGATGATGGTGATGATGGTGGTGATGATGATGATGGTGATGATGGTGGTGATAATAAGGGTGGGTGGGTAGTGGTGATAAGGGTGGGTAGGTGGTGGTGATGATGGTGGTGGTGGTGGTGATGATGGTGGTGGTGATGATGATGGTGGTGATGATGGTGGTGATGATAATGATGGTGGTGATGATGATGAGGGTGGTGGTGGTGATATCAGCAACTTAGTTAAGCTGCGAACGCTTGTGATGGCCCAGGGTCGTTTCAGCGCCACCGCTCCCCACACACATCACAGACTTACCACACACCACACATCACACACACACACCATACACTCACCACATACACTCACCACACACACACACCATACACTCACACCATACACTCACCACATATACTCACCACACACCACACACACACCATACACTCACCACACACATCCCAGAATTACCACACATCACACACACACCATACACTCACCACACACATCACAGACTTACCACACATCACACACACACCATACAATCACCACACACATCACACACACCATACACTCACCACACACATCACACACACACCATACACTCACCACACACATCACACACACACACCATACACTCACCACACACATCATAGACTTACCTCACATCATACACACACACCATACACTCACCACACACATCACACACACACACCATACACTCACCACACACATCACACACACCATACACTCACCACACACATCACACACTCACCACATACACTCACCACACACATCAGAGTTACCACACACCACACATCACACACACACCATACACTCACCACATACACACCACACACACACCACAGACATCACAAACTCACCACACACACACTCACCACACTCACCACACTCACCACACACACACTCACCACACTCACCCCACTCACCACACACTCACCACTCACCTATCACAGTGCTCATCTTGGCCGATGGCGGAGGTGGTGGCAGTCACTCCCAGAGACCCCAGGTGAGTGACCCCTGGTGAGTGACCCCCAGGTGAGTGCGACCCCTGGTGAGTGAGACCCAGGTGAGTGACCCCCTGGTGAGTGAGACCCCTGGTGAGTGAGACCCAGGTGAGTGACCCCCAGGTGAGTGACCCCTGGTGAGTGAGACCCAGGTGAGTGACCCCTGGTGAGTGAGACCCAGGTGAGTGACCCCAGGTGAGTGAGACCCAGGTGAGTGAGACCCCTGGTGAGTAAGACCCCGGTGAGTGACCCCCAGGTGAGTGACCCCCAGGTGAGTGACCCCCAGGTGAGACCCCTGTTGAGAGACCCTGGTGAGTGACCCCCAGGTGAGTGACCCCCAGGTGAGTGATCCCCAGGTGAGACTGGTGAGTGAGTGTTGAACCGGCCAGCTCCCGCACTGAGGAAAGAGACAGAGGTGATATGAGACACCTACACAGATAAAGCTCCCCCGTGTAGCCCACACGGGGCTACTGGGGCAAGTGCCCCCCCCCCCTCGCCGCTCCGTCACGGCCGCCTTTGTCTTCCCGAGTAACCCGCGAGCGGGAATCGAACTCGGATATTTTGCCCTTCACCGGGGGGCGTTTCGGGGGCCCAGCTCCCTAACCGCTGCGCCACCGCTCCTCGCGTTGTTGTGCCCACAAAGACAAAGACTCCAACCCCCACCTTGACGGGCTGTTGGGGCAAGTGCTGTTAGCCTATACACACAGACACACACGCCACACTCACAGACACACACTACAACACTACAACACACAGACACACACTACACGGACACACAGACTCACACACTACAAACAAAGATAAAGATCCCCCGTATGGCCTTAACAGACTGTAGGGGCAAGTGCTGTTCGCGAGCGCCTATACACACAGACACACACGACACACTACAACACTACACCACACAGACACACAGACACACAGACCACACCACACAGACACACACACTACACCGACACACACACTACACCACACAGACACACACACTACACCACACAGACACACAGTACAACACAGACTCACACACTACACACACTGCACTACACGGACAGACTCACACACTACAAACAAAGATAAAGATCCCCCGTATAGCCTTAACAGACTGTAGGGGCAAGTGCTGTTAGCGAGCAGCACCTATGAAGGACGGAACGGTATACGAGGGGGTGGGTGGCCAGCATCACGCCCGACCGCCTTTGTCTCCCCAGCGGCAATGTTTTTATCCAGGTACTCATTTGAGGCTGAGTCTACCTAGGGGAGGCCCAGGACCGGTTCAAATAATCGTCACCGGTTTCGGCCGTGAGCGGGAATCGAACCCGGGTCGCCAGGTTCATAGCGCAGCGCGCTAACCGCTACACTAACACTCACTCACACACACCAACACTACACTCACTCACACAGACACAACACTACACTCACTCACACACACAAACACTACACTCACTCACACACACACAAACACTACACTCACACACACAAACACTACACTCACACACACAAACAAACACTACACTCACTCACACAGACACAAACACTACACTCACTCACACGCACACACAAACACTACACTCACTCACAAACACACAAACACTACACTCACTCACAAACACACACAAACACTACACTCACTCACAAACACACACAAACACTACACTCACTCACAAACACACACAAACACTACACACACAGACACAAACACTACACACACAGACACAAACACTACACTCACACACAGACACAAACACTACACTCACAGACACAAACACTACACTCACTCACACAGACACAAACACTACACTCACTCACAGACACAAACAATACACACACACAGACACAAACACTACACTCACACACACACAGACACAAACACTACACTCACACACACACAGACACAAACACTACACTCACACAAACACTACACTCACTCACACACAGACACAAACACTACAACAACCGCCATTCGCCACTAAGTGGCGGTGACGTCACCACGACGCTTGTGCCAGGCCATGTGCACCTTGAGGCCACGTGAAGTGTCGAACGCCCGCTGGCAGGAGGTCACGGGGCAGACCCAGGTGCCACGGGTCGACTGACTAGACTGACTAAGATGACTGAGATGACTGGCTGATGCACCACCTGTGCCCCCTACTGTGCCAACCTGTTGTGCTTTAGCCACCCGGCGCTCCGCTCGTTGTTGTGAGCGTCGCTCCTCCGCCCTCCGTTGTTGTTGGAGGGCGACTGCCTCCAACTGCCCAGTAGCGTCCTTCACGAGCCTCCTCCACAGAGGCCGATCTTGACACCGCTGGTACCAGTCATCGGCAAGTCCACTCAGCTCCACGTCCTCCTGTACCACATCACTCCATCTCTTATCTAGCCACGTGCCTCCTGTACCACGTCACTCCATCTCTTCACTAGCCCCGTGCCTCCTGTACCACATCACTCCATCTCTTCTCTAGCCCCGTGCCGCGCCCGATTAGCCCCCTCGATCCGGCCGAACAAAAGCTGTTTCAGCATGCGGTGGCTGGGCATGCGGGCTACATGACCCAGCCAACGCAGCCTTGCCTGCCGGAGGAGCTCACCGATGGGACCTTGCCCAGACCTTTCAAGGATGTTTGAGCTCATCACACAATCCAGCCTGGTTAAACCCAGGATGGAACGTAGGCAGGCCAGCTTAAATGTTTCCAACCGGCGAAGATTTAGGCTGGCCATCCTACGTTCCATCCTGGGTTTAACCAGGCTGGATTGTGTGAGGAGCTTACTCACACACACACAGACACAAACACTACACTCACTCACACACAGACACAAACACTACACTCACTCACACACAGACAGAAACACTACACTCACTCACACAGACACAAACACTACACTCACTCACACACAGACACAAACACTACACTCACTCGCACACAGACAGAAACACTACACTCACTCACACAGACACAAACACTACACTCACTCACACACAGACACAAACACTACACTCACTCGCACACAGACAAACACTACACTCACACTCGCACACAGACAAACACTACACTCACTCACACTCGCACACAGACACAAACACTACACTCACACACACTCGCACACAGACACAAACACTACACTCACACAGACACAAACACTACATTAACTCACTCACACAGACACAAACACTACAAAGACAAAGATCCCCCATATAGCCTTAACAGACTGTAGGGGCAAGTGCTGTTAGCGAGCACCTATGAAGGTCGGTAACGGTACACTCACTCAGACACAAACACTACACTCACACAGACACAAACACTACACTCACTGACACACTACACTCACTCAGACACACTACACTCACACACACAGACAAACACTACACACACACAGACACAAACACTACTCACTCAGACATAAACACTACACTACACACAGACACACTACACTACACACAGACACACACACACACTAGACTCACACACAGACACACCACACTACACACAGACACTACACACACACACTACACTCTACACTACACACTGACACACACACAGACACACACACACTACACACAGACTACACATAGACACACTACACTACACACAGACACACTACACTACACACAGACACACTCCACTACACACAGACACACTCCACTACACACAGACACACACACTACACACAGACACACACACTACACACAGACACACTCACTACACACAGACACACTCACTACACACAGACACACTACACAACACACTGACACTACACAACACACAGACACACACACACTACACACAGACACACTACACACAGACACACACACACTACACTCACTGACACACCACACTACACACAGACACACCACACTACACAGACACACCACACTACACACAGACACACTACACTACACACCGACACACACACACTCACACACAGACTACACACAGACACACTACACTCACACAGACACACAGACACACACTCTACACTCACACACACTACACTCACACACAGACTACACACAGACACACTACACTCTACACTCACACACAGACACAGACACGGTACACTCACACACAAACACGGTACACTCACACACACTACACTCACTCACACACACAGACACAAACACTACACTCACACACACAGACACTACACAGACACACACTACACTACACACCGACACACACACTACACTCCACTCACACACAGACACACACACACTACACTCAGACACACACTACACTCAGACACACACACACTACACTGACACACAGACACACACACACTACACACAGACACACACACACTACACTGACACACAGACACACACACACTACACACAGACACACACACACTGACAAACACTACACACAGACACACACACACTCACTGACAAACACTACACACAGACACACACACACTACACACAGACACACACACTCACTGACAAACACTACACACAGACACACACACTCACTGACAAACACCACACAGACACTACACACAGACACACTACACACACTACACTACACACAGACACACACACTACACATACTACACTACACACAGACACACTACACTACACATACTACACTACACACAGACACACTACACTACACACAGACACACACACACTACACACAGACACACACACACTACACACAGACACACACACGCTACACATAGACGCACACACACTACACACAGACACACATTACACTCCACACAGACACACATTACACTCAGACACACACACTACACACACACTACACAGACACAAACACTACACTACACACAGACACAAACACTACACTACACACAGACACAAACACTACACTACACACAGACACAAACACTACACTACACACAGACACAAACACTACACTACACACAGACACAAACACTACACTACACACAGACACACTACACTCTACACTACACACAGACACACACTACACTCTACACTACACACAGACACACACTACACAGACAAACACTACACTACACACTACACACAAACACTACACACAGACACACACTACACTCTACACTACACACAGACACACACACTACACTACACACAGACCAACTAAACACTACACTACACACACTAAACACTACACTACACACACTAAACACTACACTACACACAGACACTACACACAGACACACACACTACACACAGACACTACACACAACACTACTCACACACTACACTCGACACTCACACTACACTCTACACTACACACACTACACACAGACACACAGACACTACACACAACACTACTCACACACTAAACACTACACTACACACAGACACTAGACTCACACTACACACACACTACACTACTCACACGCTACACTCGACACTCACGCAGAGATGCAAGGCAAAGATCCCCCGGTATCGCCTGAACACGCGGACAC